ATTTCTGTTTAATGAGAATGACGATTTTACCGTGATCAGCAACTCTCACTCTATCAAATGATGTAAAAAAAACGGCAAAAAAAATTTTTACTTGAAGTTTGAATTGCCTGCACCTTACCCGTTTACATTTCCTTTTGTTTTCGTGCTGTATTAAGTTATGGGTAATGCATGTACAAGAACCAACACCGTGGCAGCTCGACCCGGTCGTGCAGTCAACCAAATGGTTACTTCCAATTCAGTAAATCCCTACGATGCTAACCAAATAAATGCAAATAAAGCAACGCAACATCCTCCGTGGCAAGATGTGAGAGTTGATGATTATTCGCGTACGTCATCACCAACTTCCCCGCGCAGACAAATATACAGATCAGGACAACGCTCACCACCACCTACAGAGCACACCGGGCGAGCGGCTAAATCAAACGAACCACTAACCACAGTAAAATCGTCATTCTCATTAAACAGAAATGTTGAAAGTTATTCACATATTTGGAAAGATGCGCAGGTAAACCATGACGACTAATGAGGTTTTGATATTCTTGTAAGATTAAGGGAGAACCATGTTTTTTTCAGGAATAAATCTATTTTAACCCTTCGATTCTTTCCGGTTGGCTTCTGGATCGAACCATTCGAACTATCCCTTCTTAATGTGATCGATGAACCATCCAAAGCCCATACATTCTATATCTTAAGTCTAAACGACGTTAACTTGGACCTTCCATTGTCTGTTTGTTTTGTTCTTTCGGTCCAAACTGATAAATCAGATACAAGCCATACTATATGAACCGATGCTGAAGGTCAGAAATGCTTCGAACCGAATCCGATTATGAAGTTGGAATTTTTCACACATATTCTTTTCCCAAATTTTTGTTCTTTATTTTGTTCTAGTTCGTTTTTAAAGAACAAACAGATGTAACTGAAAAAACTCGAACAATAAAACTCGAGTCAAACACAGACGAAAAACAAGACAAAAAAGATTATAAGGTTGATAAGGGCAATGTTCACGTTGAATCAACAGTCGATTCAAAAATAACAACATTAGCTAATATATCAACAAAAGAAAAACAAACTCTGTTAATGACAGCACTCAGTGAAACACAAATAAAACTAGACACAGACGTTAAACGGCGACAAGAACAGATTTCAACTGAAACAAAATCAGTTGTAAATCATATTCTCAATGATACACTGACCGACGAACAACGCTTAGCAGAATATATCAGAATAAAGCAAACTGAATATGAAGACGATTATAATAAACAAATACAAAAATATTCGGAAGAATTA